CTAAGAAGAACAGGGACTATTTATTTAATTATTTATTTTTGGCAGTTACAAATATCAAGATTCCAGAAATGTAGTGATGATCGTGTTCATGATTTGCCTGTGAGTATAAAGTGCCATTTAAAATATAATTGGGACCCAATAAGGAACAATCATTTCAAGGTTGAGTTTTGTTTTTAAGGCCTCTTTTTAATTCTTAGTCATGACCTACTAGTGATTAGCTAAAATTAAATTATTAATAATGTATCCTGGATGCCTCACACATTAGAAAGGGCAGATAGACTTCAAATTCTGACATCCTTTCCTGTTTCGTGACCTTGTCCCAGTACCATCATTCCCCATCTGTTATTCAGGCTTCCCCTGAGTATACTTTGTTGCTCCATTTCTGATCTAGGTCCCTTGAGGCACACCTTTTTCTAGTTCTTTCACTCGTCCAACCCAAAGCTTACATACACATATAAACACAAAAACACAGACGCACACCTTTACGCCTCAAGACCTTGGTCTGATAAGCTATTTGAAGCAATTTTTTTCAGTGATGAAATATTTATCTATGTCTGTATTCCATATTTATCTGTATCTGTATCTACATCTATATCCATGTATCTCTCTTTAGCTTTAACAGCCCATAAAAATTACAAGCACATGGATTTCAGACACCATGGTGGGTTATAAGAGAAAATATTTTGCAAAATATTTGATACCCTTAAAATCATAAGCTTTAAAATTCGGAACAGATTACTCCTAAGAATGATTATTTAAAAAAAAAAAACAGTGAAAGGTAACCCAAATATACAGAAATGCCATGCTTAATCTGAAGCTATAGGATTTGTTTATCTTTAGTAGATGGTATGGAATGAAAATGTCAGCCTTTTCTGAATAAGCAAAACTGGCAGTTTGGATCTAGAATTGGCAAATTTATATAGGCATTTAAATGGTTGCATATTGATTTATCATTTGCTTTCAGCTGACTGCTAATTTCAATGAAGAAGCTAAACAAAAGTGTTATAGCTCCATATATAGAGAAGTGTGTTAAAGATAGAAGTAAAAGAGAATTTAAGAAGAATTATAATTAAATAACCTAAGATTGATCTAGGTAATAAATTTTTAAAAAGAAAAACTCAAAATGAGAGTCAAAAAGTTTTCAGGCATGTGAAGGAAAGGGGGATGAAAGTAATTGGTTACTTCTA